AAGTTTTATTAGCAAATACTTCAAAATCATACAATTTAATGGTTTAATCATAGTCAGAAGATTTGTGCAATTATCCCCACAGTCAACTTGAGAACATTTTCTTCTCCTGCTCCTTACGGCTAGTTCCTCATTTCCCCTCCTGCTCCAGTCAATCCCCACACCCTTAGTCAATTGTCAATCTAGGTACTGTCTCTATAGATCGACCTAACTTGGATTTCATATTCAGAAAGGCATACAAAACACAAACAGGAAGCAAACAAGAAACAATGACTAGACAAAATAGAAAAATTCAGTCAAAATGAAAGCAGAAAACATGAAAAGCTGAAACAACTTTAAAATGGGTCAACTCTGTTTTGCTGGGTTGCCTACTTCCATAAGACAGGCATGGAAAGCAAGCTTGCGGAGAAAGCAGTGGGACTGGTGGTCCCAGAGGGACCTGGGGGAGAAGGGGGCAGGAAAGGGAGTGGGGAGCAAACACCACCATAAACAGGGACCAGCTAGGGCATTAAAGTGAACAACCAGGGTAACAGGCATCAGAAGACCCCAAACAAAGAAACCAACAAACATAAAACACATTGTTCCGAATGAGGGGGATCAGAGCAGAGACCCAAAGCCCATCTGTCGACAATGGGACATCCCCTCACAAGGGGATCACAGGGAAGGGATCACTCAATCGGGATGCAGTAAAACACCCATGAAACACACAATACTCCTCCGGTTCCTTGAAGTTAGGGTGGCCTCAGATAGCTGTACATGAACCGCTGACTTGTTCAGATTGAACACTTAAGTGATAGGACACTACGCAAACAATGGGAGCTGGTGATGGGGCAAACCTATCAAAGCATTCATTCACAAAGGCAGAATCATGCCTACCAGATTAATACATGCTGTACAAAAGCAAGGAGGACATTAGAGTAGTGATTCTATGGTAGTTCCAAGCCACCATTCGTTGAGCAACCTGAAAGCAAGAGATGTGAACCAAAGTCCAGTCACTTTGGCCTCCACACTCAACTACAATGAAAAGGAGCACATTAGAAGGTCTTAGAAGGAGTGGGGGGAAATGGGGCTAGGAAGAAGGCCAGACTTACTAGTCAGATAGAGACTAGTGGGACCTCTGATAACTCTGGTCCTTAGCCACTCGTCAAGCCGACAACTAAACCCACTCCTATGGCTCAATTTTCAACTAAACAGTAGGTGTATAAGGAGAACAATAGCATCAGTGAGGTACACACACCTTAGAGCAGGTGTCCTCAAACTACGGTCCATGGGTCACATGCGGCCCGCTGAGGACATTTATCCGGCCCGCCGGATGTTTTTGCCCCATTTGTTTTTTCACTCCAAAATAAGGTATGTGCAGTGTGCGTAGGAATTTGTTCATAGTTTTTATTTATTTACTTATTTGGTAGGAAAAATGCATTTTATTTAATGACCAAGGACACAGACAGAAATACTAAAATAATATTTGCTCTTTCTACATGGATGCCTTTTTAAATCCATATTCTTTCGTTAAAAGCTAGTTAATTTAATAAGCTATGGATGTTATAATCTACAGTGACTCTAGAACACTAATATTGTCTAATTTATCACTTAAGGGGCATTTAGAGTCTTCCTCCTCCTTGGGATTGGCCCTACCAGTATGCTCTGCTCTCAGAGGAGGGATAGGGAACGGCCTCTCACTGTGTTCCGCGTGGGCATAGCACTGGCTTTCCTTCCCAGGCCCGATCGTTGACAGAAATGACCATATGTCTGTGCTGCACATTTCATATGTACACATGATTTCATTTTCTCCTCACAACAACCCTGTGAGGTAGGCGGGGGATGGATGATCAGATTCACTTTACAGATGCTGAACTTCAAATTGAAGCGCGGTTCAGTGATTTCCCCACTTAGCTTTTCCCTAGTCGGAGGAGGGGCAGTGTGAGAACTGTGGAACTTTGACTTTAGGGGGAGGGCTCTTTCCTCCAAACCCCCTAGGCCCTCATAGTACACTCGAAAACAGAGTTCTTCGCACCACTTTATCCTTTATTCGGGCATGGTTGACTCAAGTTATTAAACAAAACCCTGATTCTAAAGTTATGGCAAATTCATACCAGAGATTCAAACTGGCTCATTCTGATTTGACACCCCCACCCTGGGAATCTGCATTTTCCTCCCCTGAAATTCAAGTGATGATCTCACCTTGATCTTCAGGGGATTGATTCTTTTTTTTTTTTCTTCTACTTTTTTAGCAGTTTATTGGCATATAATCCATATATAACCCAAGTAAATAGTTTGATCACATCAAGAAGTGTCATACAATCACCCCCACACTCATTTTAGAACATGTTATGCATTCTTATACTCATCATTATTAGCTCCCCATTTCCTCCCTGCCACACCCCCAAGATTTACCTATCCTGGATTTCTTTTTTTTTAACATTTTATTAGGGGCTCATACAATTGATTGATTCTTAAGATCATCAGATCTTCTTAAAGGTAGGCTCAGCTGGGGTGGGAAGGCGACTTCTCAGCAGGGAGCCAAATGAATAAACCAGTTTGAGGCCCTGGTTTATACTTTTCTACCAATAAAAACGTAGGCCGCAAAACACGTATTTTGGAGAAAGCACTGTTTCACTGACTCTAGTCTAAAGGAACAAAAGCAATATGACCCCGGAGGTCAAGGAAGTGGAAGACAGCTGAAAGGCTATATAATGAAATGCATTCGTGGGTTTTGGTGCCTTTAAGCTTTCACTTTTGCAGCAGGGCTCAATGGAGAGCTTTAATGCAGATGAAACTTGAAGCGTTTGAAGAGGATCTAAGTCCTGATGAGATTATTCAAACTCAAACCTTGAATGCATAATGATGGGATGCCATGGTCTTCAAAACTTGATACTTGATGCTCTCTCAGAGTGTTATGATTTGAATGGCACAATACAAACTGATTCATGTTTTTGTCTTTTGCTGGTCCATGAGTTTCTTTAAATGAGGTCCATGTTAGAGTTCACAGATACCAGTGTTCTGCAAAACTGCCCTTGGTCCAAGGTTCCTCCAACCATAGTTTTTTTTTACACTATAATCCGGCCCTCCAATGGATCTGAGGGACAGTGAACTAGCCCCCTGTTTAAAAAGTTTGAGGACCCCTGCTAGAGTAATCAGCTATTTCAGATTAAAAGAGTAGCATTTAAACGAGGACAGAGTTCAGAATGGTTAGGAAAACAAACAAACAACAAACAAGCAGAGCTGCCATCAAGTTGGCTTGACTCATGATGAGTCTGTGTATGTCAGAGAAGAACTGTACTCCATAGCATTTTCAATGGTTGATTTCTTGGGAAGTCTACCCAAGGCGTCTCTGAGTAGACTTGGATCTGTATCTTTTGGTTATTAGGCAAATGTATTAATCATTTGTTTGGGCCAGGATTCCACTAACAACAACAACAACAAGCAAACATATCCACTGCCGTTGAGTATTTCAACTCTTAGTCACCCTGTGTAGTGTTTCCAAGACTACAGACAGTCTCATCTTTTCCCATGGAGTGGCTGATGGCTTTGAACTGCTTACCTTGCAATTAACAGCCCAATGCTTAATCTATGGTGCCACCGTTAGATAAGTCTGGATTCTACTGCCTGGTGTTCTTTTCCAGGAGTGTTGAGTATGGCATATTTAATATTGAAAATTGGGGCTCTGTGCTAGATAGGGCACATTTGTGAGAGTCATACTCCTTGGGAGCGTATACTCAAAATCAGTAGCAGCACAATACCTACACACATGAATAGAGGAAACAGAAGTAAGGTAATGCCAATAATAGTGGCTAACGTTTATTTCAAATACATACACCAAAAGAAAAAAGAAACTAATATATAGAATGCCATATCAGACATCCTGTCAAGTATTTTACATAAATTCTTTACCAGTAATTTGAAACAACTCTATGATGTAGGCAATGCTATTACCCCACATTAGAGATGAGGAGAGGCTCAGGGGTGTTGAACACTCTTGGCTACATAGTAATGAATTCCCAAACTCAGATCTGTCATCTGTAAGTGCCACCATGTTGACAGGTAATAACAGGCTTTCAAAGGTACTTCATCGCCATCAGCCCTCCTTCTATCCTCACAAAGAAGCACTGTATCGATTTTTAGAGTGCATGCTGTGCAAGCATAGCTTCCAGAAATTTCCTAAACTTTTCTTTATTAAATCAGATCTCCACCTTCAAGCCCATCTTGTGTAGAATGTGTGGAAGGTCCATTACTTTAAATGCCTTGCTCTCATTTACTACTCAAAGGAAGGTGTCCCAAGTACAAAATAAATGTAAAGAAAATGTACTGATGAGATAAAATGTAATCCAAAATTATACACTGCCAAAGTCGGAGTTCTGCCTTCCCCCAGTGATACTAGCTTTGTGGTCTTAGGCAAGTCACTTCACCTCTCAGCAACTCCATTTCCTCATCTGTAAAATGGATGTAATGGTACAAAGGAGCTTCAGAAAGTTCAAAGGTATAAATCTGACTTGAACAGTTAAAACTTTGTCTCTTCTGATCATGCTGGACCTGATCCGGTTTTCAGCATTTTCTGTATTTTTGTTTGTTTATATTAGGGTGTATCTCAGAGGTGTTATATCATTGGAGATTACCCTCTTGAAGTTGTATTATATGTTTTTCTGGTATTTGATATATGAAATGCAGGATTGATAAACCTATAGGGAAAGCCAGTAGAATAAAGGTTTTGGGGAGTGGGAGGTACAGTGGTCCTGGGGGTTAAAAGGGAGATGATGTCCAGTCTAGGAAGAAAAAGAATGTTTAGAAAATGATTGTGGTAGCAATTATACAATTCTTCTTGACATGATATACGTATTAAATCCCAATTAATAATAAATAAATTTAAAACATTCCATGAACTTTTGGAAGCCCTCTGGTGTCCCCCATTGAGTCATGAGGATTAAATGAATTGATTCATGCAAAATCCTTAGGAAGTTCCTTTGCATGTGGTAAAGCCCAATCTAAGTGTAAGTTATAAGAGTCAGATGAAGCTTAAAACTAGAGAAGTTTTTGGTACTAATTTAAATGGCAAGAAGTTAATACCGGTAACTCAGATTGGACTGGGTGGTGTAATTAAGGTGGTTTTATGATTGAATGAGGAAAGGGACATTTTTCTAGGCTGGGGATGGTGGGGAGTATTGCTTAAGGCAAGCTAGAAATCTTTAGAAACCTACCTATAAGGAATGGCAAGCAGGTTTCAGTTCTGAGACCAATGTAAAGACATTGGCCAATTTAGTTGCCATTAGAGCAAAACTACTATAAAGTCAAATCTAGAGATAGCTTAAGAGAAGGCTGTGATGAATTAGAATTGCCAATGTCATTGGTAGGTGATAGCATACATGACACATATATGTCCTTCTGTCACAGTGTGGCGGCACATTGGGTTAAGTGTTGGGCTACTGACTGCAAAGCCAGTGATTCAAACTCATCAGCTGCGCTGTAGGAGAAAGGTTAGGCTGTCTGTTCCCGCAAAGATGTATAGTCTTTGCAGGAACCGTAAGGAGCGGTTCAGTTTACTCTGTCCTTTAGGTTTGCAAAAAGTTGGAATCAACTTTATGGCAGGAGGTTTGGTGTGGCTTTTAATCCCTACGTGACAAGGAACATGTGCCCTGCCTCCCTTCCAACCACTGTTCTTCACAAGATACCTCTCTTGATATATAAAAAGAATTTCATAAGGGCATTGAAGCTTTATAATCATTAATGAGAAACTTGGATTTGTTTCATGGTGATTCAATAACCTATGGTAGAACTTAATAAATGAGTTATTAGTAAAGATTTTGATGAATTGAATTTATGGACATGAAGGCATATAGTTCAACAGTTGTCTTGGATACAACTTCCTATCATTATATGAAAAACAATTGAATCTAGAAAAGCTTATCATTAATGTTAGTCAAAACATACTGCCATCGACTTGACTTTGACTTAGAGACTCTCTGTAGGGCTTCTTTGACAGTAAATATTAATTAGAATTGGCAACCTCATCTTTCTTCTGAGTAGCGGCTGGGAAGTTTGAACTGCTGAAATTATAGTTAGCAGCCAAACACCTAATCCACAGTGCCACCAGTGTCTATTATTAAAGGACCATATAACAGGAATCAATTTTATTGGATAGGAAGCACTTTGCTGTAGTGTTTCTATGGGGAATACATCCTTGGGAATAGGAGATTTGATTGTGGGTTCTGCTTCTTCTGAAGGGAATGATCTTCAGTAGGTTGGTTTATCTCTCCAAGTTTCATCTATACAATAGGGATGAATAGACTCCTGTAGCGATGAGTAGACTACTGTGATAATCAGCTGAAATAGCCCCTTCATGTAATGGCTGGTAGCATAGTGGTTATGTGTTGAGCTGTCATCAGCAAGGTTGGCAGTTTGAAACCACCAGTCACTGCAGGTGACAGATGGGGCTTTCTATTCTCACAAGTCTTTGAAACTCACCTTGTCCTCTAGGGTTTCTATGAATCAGTATTGAGTCAAGGGCAGTGAGTTTTGTTTGGTTTCTGGTAATTGCTAGCCTGATGAAAGCTCTTAGCAAGGGCTAGATTTCTTCCTGTCTCTGCCCTGTATGTTCATCTCCCGTCTGTTACTGCTACAGTTAAATGAAACCGTCAACCAGATGTGAATGTGTTATAGCTCAGGGACTTCTGGCTCTTTCTGTTGTTTTTCTTAGATGAGAAAGTGTGGATCTATACTTTCATGCAGTTATGTTTTTTGTAACTCTTTACATCTAGAAGCAGTTTATTTTATTTTAAATTTATTTTTATATTACATAATTTCTGGAAATGTGGAAAGCAGGGATGATCTATACTCAGCTTGAAGTCTACATTCTCTCAGACCTCAGAGAGTGTTTGCTCAGTTGGAAGGAGTTATCAGAAGGACTCCCATGTACCTGGCTCCCATACTTCTAATCAATGAAGCAGATTACTATTTTAGTCAAATAAATTTGGTTCACAGTTTAGCCAGAATTGATTACCTATTGTGTCTTAACTGTTGCAGCAAATAGTGTGGACAAAAAGACAAATAATACATAGTTACTATCTTTAAGACTTCTACAGCTTCATGGAAAAGATGGATACATGAATAACCAACTGCATTTTGTATGACACTTGGTGAAATTCACATAGCCAAGAAGTAGTACAGCAGTAATTAAAATCTAGGTCCTTTCGACTTCAAAGTCAGGGCAGAGTGAGTTGTGTTCAGGTCATGGTCTCTTCGTCAACATTAGTCCTGTTCTGCCTATAAGCTGAAGGCAGAGCATTATTTGAAAACATCACTAAATCAAATCATTTTGTTTGATTCACAAACTAGGTCCTCCAGAAACTTGGGAAAGCTGATGAGACCAAAGATGAACAGTTTGAAGAATATGTCCAGAACTTCAAACGACAAGAAGTGAGTACATTTATCTACTTTCTGGAGTAGGAGGTTCACTGTGTGTGTTTTATTGAGATATAACCCACATATCATATAATTCAATAATTCACTCCTAGTAAGAAGAGTTGTACAAGTCTCACCACAATCACCTCTAGAACATTTTTCTTTCTTCTGCTCATTGTAGTTGACTCCCCATTTCTTCCCAACCTCCCCTTCCATGAGCCTAGGAAATTACTTATCCAGTTGTGATCTCTAAAGATTTAGGTATTCTGGATTTTCTATTAAGGAAAAATATAACAGCAACAAAAAAAGCCAAAAACCAAAAAAGCACGCAAGAGCACGGTAAATTAAAATAGAGAACAATTTAATTGAAAAGAAAGCATAAACTATTTTCAAAACTGGAACAAATTATATAAGCGATATTAAGGTTTAAGAAGTTACGGTGGGGCTAATATTAACTTTAGAGTAACACATACTTTTGTCTGGAAGGGAGGGAAGGAGCAGAGGCACAGCAGGAACACAATGTGCGTTTAGAATCTCAGGACATGGATACTACTTAGCTGTTCTTCAAAACAGATTCCTGATTTGAAAGTAGAGCAAGGATTTGGCATTTTACCTTCGACTAAGTCTTAGAGAAGCAGCAATTAAGTACTTCTGGAAAAATGATTTTACTTGTTGAATTCTTCCATATCCTGTGTTCTCATCAATGAGGATCTCCTACCAGGGAGTGAAAATTGATGCTTCCTTCCAAAACCCAAACTCGCTACCGTTGAGTTGATTTGGACTCAGAATGACCCTATAGGACAGAGTAGAACTGCCCCTGTGGGTTTCTGAGACTGTCGCTCTTTATGGAGCAGAAAGCCTCA